TTGTGTAACTCTTTAATTCTGCAATGAAGATCATGAATCAAGAAACCCATTTTCATAATTGCTTCGGTATTTAGTGTTCGAAGAGACCAGTTAAGCATCTGGTAGACGAAATACTCACGAGTGTACCACCAAATTGATGATTGCGGACAATAATTATTTTGGAACTCAATGATATGGTTCAATATGATGGGATTGTTGATGCATGCATTGCGGCAAAATTGAATAAAGTCCTTAATTGCTTCTTCACTGTGGTCTATTTCAAGGAGAATTTCCTTGAATATTTGAGTATACATGAATGAGGGTTCCAGTTGATCCAAATTTTCGCCGGAACGAAGTTCGTTCACACTAACAAAGCTTACCGAGATGGAATTCTCGTTGCACTGCTTGACAGCCAATCGCAGTGTTTCACAGATTGACTTGATGTCTGTATGAGCACCTTTAATCTTGGACCAGTTTTTTATCCATGCTTCATCTTGTGCTTGGTCGCTACAAAAGATGTAAACACTATCAACTGGAGGGATACTCTGGATGAGAGGCATCATTTGTTGAGCCATATTTTCTGCTAAAATTAGAAAAGCCTTGAGATCATTAATTTCAGTGAGAAAGTCAACACATTCATCTTGTTGTGTGAAAATGCAGACGTCGTTAAAAACACTGCGCAATTGTGCAAGTGTGTTTTGAAAAAATTGATTTTCTTGATCAATATTGCTGTCCACCCATATTAGCAAATAATTCTGAGTCACATATCGTCTTGGTTTGATAGTATTTGACGATGCTGCTGCACTTGCAATGGCATCCATACTTGACGCTCAAATACTTTGCTTGGACTTTTGCTCTCTCATATTGTGTATGAAATGTCTCTTGGTCGTTAATACGGAATGGTGAATAATTGTTTGTCGTTTGAAGAGCGATCACTTTTTCTTTTCATGTGATCGATGACAGCTGTTTTTTTCAAGATTTTTCTACGATGTCAAGTGCGTTAGCTTTTGTTTTTCTTGGCACTCAACGATAGCCTCTACCTATTTTCAATTGAAAATAGAGCAGTGAATAGCAAACGAAGGAGAAAAAATCCAACTACGTCATTTCTTGTATGGCTGTTTTTTCCAACTTTCGTTTGCTTTTCATCTGCACAATGACTTAAGTGTCCTGAGTTTGAATACCTTGTCCTATTCATAGATTTTTTTCCTTGATTCTTTGGAAACGACTTTTATTCTCTTTCCGCTAAAAACGAAAAAAATTAAGAGGTTCCAAGCCAATCATCCTCAGTCGTACGCTGCCGTATACCAATCAGTTACGACTGAAAACGGTACTTGTTTAGGCTCTCCGTTTAAAATAATCGGAAACGATACTTTACAGTGTATTACAGCCACCATAAACAATAATCGTAAAGAATTGCTGTTAACGACTAGCGTAGCAATACGGCAACTGTAAACGCTGCTCAGATAATATCATAAAGGTATGGGTGTGGATGGATGTGGAGAGTGGGTGTGCATAAGGAAAAGACACTAACACCACACCCACACCCTCAATCTGATTGGTTTTTTGTTTCAGCAAATCGGATTACAGGAGGCTTGTTCTCTCTCATAGCCAGAGTGAAACATGAGTTTGTCTTTGCCACATAAAAGATAGCATCAATAAACCTCTGGTTGACCAGGACAATCGCTTGTGGTGTCTTTACTATAAGAGAGAAAACCTCTCCTAAGATTTGATTAGCTGAAAAAGCAACCAATCAAATTGCATCTGGCTTTTTCTGTTTTGTAGTCAGGGTAGAACATAAGGTTGCCTTGGTCAACCAGGGGTTTATCAATACTGCCTGTCAATTTGGCAAAGACAAGGTTATGGTCTTCCCTAACTATAAGCGAGAACAAGCCTAGTACAACCGGTTGATCCTACCAGGCTTGTTCTCTCTGATAGTCAGGGTGAAACATGAACTTGTCTTTGCCAAATGAGAGATAACATTGATAAACTCCTGGTTAGCCAAGACAACTCCTTATGGCAAGGGAGAAAAAAACTGATTGCAATCAAAGCAATGATTGTCAATCACTTGTCAATCATTGGTAATCAAAGTAATCTGAGCAATCAAAAATGCAGCTTTTTTCCCTTTCATTCACATGTACACCCACCTTCGTACTCATCCACACGCATTCAAACCCTAATTTACGCCCACAGTACTTTTGGTCAAAAAGTCCCTCGTTTCGACCGGAAAGTGATCGAATCTTGGGCATAAGAGCTTAATACCCAAATCGCGATACTGTGTTTCTGTATTCAAGATTCGATCACGTTTCTGAGTTTTTCCGTAGGGAAACTAGCCTATACGCTTTTCTTGAAGGAGAGAATTGTTTTTTTTCTGCGTTCTTCAATCATGTCATCATGTACAAAAGTTTCGTTCGATGTGCGTGAAATAATTATTTTTCCGAAAATGTTTCAGCTGAATCAGTTGCAATTTTCACATTCTACATTTAATACCATGAATTAGAATGGTAGTTCACGTCCGAGATTAAGTCTTAACAAAGAATACTGACGATATAAAATAAATAAACCAGTATTTCTGCCGAAACTCAAATTTTCTGCTCGATCAGACGCCACCCAAAGCATCATCTATTGATAGAGAATTCAATTTAGCATTCAATACGACCAATAAGAAAATTCGAACAAGAAGTGACCCAATATGGTTCTAATCTTACCTACATAAAAAACTCGATCGATATTTTAGTATATTCTCAATGTGATGTATCGTTTATTATAACTACTGATTTATCCATTGATAGTGGTTATATATAATCAAATCATAAAAATTTCAGACAATAATTCATATTAACGATATCCAAAAATTCAAGCCATTTGATTATTTTTTTGATAATATCGCAGTAGATTATCTAAAATTGTATTTGATATAATTTGATGAAATAAGAGATCTTCATAATAATCCCAAACTAAAACACATAAATCAAACATTTTCAAAGTATCAACATAATACGATGCATTTTTTATCGTCTTATTTTCAATATCAGTTCGGATTTTAAATCAAACCTGATTTTTTAAAAACATGACGTTAATATTGTTTAATTTTATGTTTATTGATAAACTCATATAAATAAATGGTGACTTCATTAAAAAGGAACATATTCTCTTTGGCTTTTACTCTCCCCTAATATTAGCTATAAAGTTTTGGAGATTTTACTCGATCCTGTAAATTATTTTCATGACGTTGTTCACTAAATATGGTTTTGATGAAATATATCACATCATAATTCGATGCACAATCGCTCATGGACATCAACAAGCTATGGCAACAAATCAAACATTTAATTGTCATTATTTTGTCAAACGTCACAATCTTTGTTGAAGTTTTCTGTCTGTAATTTTTGAAGATCTATTAGAATGTTGCTGCTCTGGATCGGTATCAGTCTCACAAAAGTATTTGTAAATATCTTAACGATAGTCTATATTGGAACTTTCCTTTGCCGAATTCGGCAACTAATGAGACTGATCTTATTTTAATGTTTAAAGATGTGAACATTTATCGAAAAAAATGTTGAATAGAGCTTCAAAGTACATCCTATCATACTATAATAAGAGCAATTAAATCATTTTAGTTGTATAAAAGACATTTATGGTTATTTTTCCAACAAAATTTTAAAACATACTACATTTTGTTCATGTACTTTTGTTGTCGCGTCATATTTTTATAAGTATAATTATTCTTTGCTGAATCAAACATATTCTTTAGTCAAAATGATTTTCTACACGAATATTTGATGAGCAAAAAAAGAGGATCCAGTCTATGCATAATGCAATCATGCATCCTAGAAAAGAGCTAGAATCCAATAAGTAATCAAGTTGATCGAGGGAATTTAACTTTAGTCTCTCCGAAACGTTTGTATAGCCTTGAAATTGATTATAAACTACCATGACATGTATTATGACTGTCGAAAACGATGATGTACGATTATATGCATTGTGAAATACGATAGTATACGGTCATATTTCATCATATGACTTTACGCTAGAACTACAAACATGTCTCGCTCTGTCGTATACGACATGTATATGATCATGGTAAGTTATCATACACTGTTCTCTGCGTTATCATTGTCTTTAAACAAACTTCTGCTCAGTGAGAAGAAGGATGACTTTCTATTCATCCTTCCTTCTTTCATTATTCCAGGCATACAATAAATACAATTTTTTGAAAAGGAATATCATTCTATCTATTATTCAAATAATCTAAATAAAAAATTTAATTTAATTTTTTAAAAAATAATTATTTAACTTTGAGTATAGGATAATCATGCAAGACAATTATGTACTCTCATCATGTATTTTACTCTTAATTGAACATATGATGTTGTACACGTTTATTGTAAACAATCTACGAAGATGTTTTTCAGCCTAGACCGTGGACACTAATGTGTAAATACAGCTTCCATAAGTCTTTTAATTTAATAGAAAATCTCAATAAAGAAAAAGTTTATAAATGCAAGATAGTGCTAGATTTAATAAATCACTGAGTGTGATTTTGCCATAGTCATAGACGGTCATTGATCTATCTCGAGGTTTTATCTTATGCATAAGATTCTGAGTTCTAAGCTTTTGAGAAATTTATTAAAATCCTAATGTTCACAGTCATTCATATTGCAAAGGATTGGTAAAAGCTTTAAGAGATAGAAATAACATCATTTGATAGTAATACCTGCGTAATGTGTCATATTTCACATGTGAACTTATTTTAATAACTCAAAAATTTAGTCTGCTTTTCTTTACATAAACATGTTCAAATAAAATATATCTCAATGCCTTTAGAGTCTGTAACATTCCTTTTTTTCAACTAAAGATGGTATATATCAATCAAAAATATCGGATAGATCTAATTTTCTTCATGTTTTATTCGAAAAAAAAAATATGTATGAAAGTCAATAATATAATCACAGGAATAAATAAAAATAAGTACATAAAATAAACAAAATCGAAAACAAGCTCAATAAATAAAATTTTACTTATTATAGAATAGAAATTTTATCTTTATCTTTCTTCGCACGTACAATTTTAATCGATGCTTGACGTTGAACAGCACACATTGTCATATGGTCCATATAGATATCTTTATTTCTGAGACATCGACGACAAAGTTGACATTTAAATAATGTCTAAATGGAACATATGATTCTATTTTTTGTTTAAATAAAATTAAAACTCAAGATACTACCATAGATGACAAAGAACGATTGACAAAACTAGAAGATTTCGTGACTTTTGGTATTATCGGAGAAACTCTTGGCGAAAGAGATAAACGTTCATCATCATCACTATCATTCATTGTTGTTGAATCAATAATAATTTTCCTTTTGTTCGATATATCATCATAATCAGTACGTTTTCGTTTGGTATAAGTTGGTTTTAATCTAACAAAAAGATATTAAAATAGGAAATATTTTTGTTAAAAAAAAGAAAACATGTTAAATTAGTTTATACCCATATTGTGTCATCATCGGTGCCGTTTGTTGTTCTAACCATAGTGTTGCCATTTTAGTGAATAAATGACCCATGAAAATGTTTGTGAAAATGAATCGAAAAAAAAAATGTGACTGTATGAAATGAATATAATTCGTTGTTGTTATAAAATCAAGGGTCAAAATACATTTAGAGAGAAAGAAAAAAAAAAGACATGAACGATGAATGTTCAAATTGACCTCGATAGTATCGTAGTGAAAGGAAGAGGATATAAATAGAAGAAAGATTTATTACGAAGTGACTTTCTAAATCGAATCCTAGTTGAATCGAATATGATACTACCTACGAAAATTATTACGATGATTAATGTACTCTTAAAAAACTATTCAATTAATTTTTTCAATTTTTGTGCTCGAAGAAGAACGATTTTTTCTAACAAGGAAAGTTCCGCAACTGATTCATCACTTTTGTGTCAAAACTCTGCGCATCACATAGATTCTGATGTCTTATGCGTACCCTAAAAAGAGTTCGATTCCGTAGCTGATTGCTGAGGAGATACTGGATACTTAGGATATTTTTCAATTCAATATTGTGGTCTCCTTAGGAAAACGAATTTCAGAATAAGAGCAAATCAAAAGATTGGAAACTTTCAAACTAATCTATTTTTCCTGAGGGAAACTATGATATTGAGTAAAAAAATACCGTATTGTTGCAATATCTTCGCAGTAATAAGTTAAGACCTTGAACATCTTTTCAGAATATTCATAGTTCATAAGATTCTATATGGTATACATAGTTTCGATTCAAAACCTATTAATCAGTTGAAGAATTTCCGTTGTAAGAAGAAATATGTATATATAGGTTTGATCTTCCTTACTGAATAGTCAATGATGATGATAATAATATGCATACCTTAGCATAAAACACAACAACAAATGAAAAAAAAAACAGAAGTATTTTAGTAAGTTTTTTTTCCTAGATTTAATAATGATGATAATGATTTTGCAGCTCGCAATGTTTTTCACATATTAATAACAACAAACAATAGTAAACGAAACAGGAAAAAGAACTTGTCAGTGCGGCCCCATCAGGAGCCGATTTGTGAAGCTCACAAAGTCTGACTGTTATAAATTTATGAAATATTGTCAGGAAAATTAAGAGAGTGAATCAAAATAATAATAATTTTTAAAGTTGATATGTGCATTCTGATATTTTATCATTTCGAAAACTTTTACATTTAGAATTACTATTCTATCAATTTGCTAGATCGGTATATTACAAAAACTTATTTGCATTGCCAGATAGATCTTCAATACATAACTTCTTTTCGTTTAATGATAATATATACTACACATGCCATAGGAAGTGACAAATATCGTTTTATTCTGTGCTTTATCGGTTCAGTCACCACATAAGCTTGCTCTACACATTCATTTAATTTCCAGGCACACCAGTCTTTCGCTCGACGAACTGTGACATATACTGTTGAGGTTTGTCTAAACTTAGAATTTAATTAATTCATGATTTTCGATGTTCACACTGTTCGAGCTCCACTAGATCAATAATACATCGTCTTACTGATTGACACTTACAATAAGATTCTTTCGTTGCATTAAATGTCAAAGCCAACAATATTTAGACGAGTTAAAATCTTAGATTCCTTGAATATTGTGGAAGATTCTGGAAAGCTCCACAATGTTCTAAACATTTATTACTGATGCGCCTTTTCCCGTAGCTACAGAGGCATATCCAACAGTCTTTGTCCTTCCTTCTCCCACCTACAGTTGCTAGAGACTAGGAAGAGAGGTAGCTGCATAAAGTTGTTTAGCAAGATAAACTTGAAGTACTGCAATAGCTTCTTTAATCTAATATAAAACATGAATATACTATCTTTCGAAATTTTTTTTTTTTGAACAAACATAGGCTTTAGCTTTAAGTGATTCAAGCATATGAAGAAGTTTAGTAGTATTAATTTCAAGAAGCATGCTAGTTATTTTATCAGCTAATTCTGATTGCATTTGTCGAATCAGTGAAAATAAACGTTCGTCTAACATTTGTTCTTGTGGTGTTGTGTTAGCAAGAGCAGTTACTGTTAATGATTTTTGTCGGCTAACTACAATTGAATTTGGAAATTCACCTAGATTATGAAAAATAACAAAATTATTTATCTTTCAATCATAGTTATTTTTGAAGTTCAAGTGATGTTACCATTTGTTACATATGTTAATTAATTAAATGAATACGACGTTCTTCTTTTCATTTGCATTGATCAAACATCTATTCTAAGTTATTTAGATCTAAATGTAATTTTTCAAAAAAAACAAATAGAAATAAAACCTAAAAAAGTCATATCTCGAGATTGTGTTCAAGCTATAGTCTAAAAGTTTCATTCTAATGGTAATAAAAACAAAAATAATATGCATTGCAAAAGAAATGGAAAAAACATGGTGTTTTAAAATCTTAATGACTTCCATGACTAATCCGATATGGTGCCCCTAATCATATAAAGAGAGTGAGAGAAGAAGTACTGACTTTACAGCCGAAATACGGTTTCCAAAAATCACGAAAAGCCATATTTAGAATATCAGGCACGTTTAGTTACATATCTTCGATCTTTTCAACAGCAAGTACAAATATCACTATTTTTTATTATTCCCTCGACTGAAGAGAGGGTCATACGAAAAAAACACAAAATGTGTTTGTCTGTTTGTTTGTCGAAGTCAAAGGTCAAAAAAACATCGCCTTCAAAGTTCAATGGTAGACGTTTTTCTCCATCCGAAAAGGACGGAGTCTTCACAATGGAAATTCGTATGTTTCTCCGGTGTCTGATTGGTCGAAAAATGGACCAATCAGATTTCAAGAGGACTTTTCTCTCTTAATATGAGGACAACTGCTAGTCATGTTGGAGTCCATCCTAGGGTTATCGGGGATGCTCTATCGAATGAGGGTTATATGTGAGGACTCCGCCTTACATATCACTGAGAAATAGATTCTTGCTATGTGATTGGTTGAAAAATGGGCCAATCAGATTTTAGGAAGACTTTTCCTTCTTATTATCAGGACCAGAGATGTCCATCGCGGCGCTACAGTCAACCTAATTGAACCACGGCCGCGGTTCGATTGTGTTGATGGTTGCACCGCGATGTACATCTCTGATTAGGATAGGTGCCAGCCATATTCGGGCCGATCCTAGGGTTATCAGAGACACTCTATCCAATTACGGGTATATGTGCGGGCTCTGCCTTGCATATCACTGAGAAATTGAATCTCGCAATCTGCAATGAGATTTTTTAAAGCTGAAATTCCAGCCAATCAGGATTTTTCGGTATCGGGCGTCCCGAACCAATCAGATTCTTCCAGGCTGGGAGTTCAGCCAATCAAGGGTTTTCGAAATCGGGCATTCGACCAATAAAATTTATTTAGGCTGAAATTCGAGCTAATCAGAAGTTTTCGATATCCGACATCCAACCAATCAGATTCTTTCAGGCTGGAAGTTCAGCCAATCAGAGGTTTTCGATACCGAGTTTTCGACCAATCAGATTCTTTCAGGCTGGAAGTTCAGCCAATCAGAGGTTTTCGGTACCGGGCTTCCGACCAAGGATGTGGGTGTGGAGTGTGAGGTGTGAGTATGGGTGTGGATGTAGGTATTATATGCTTGCACACTCACACCCACCTACACCCACCCACACCCACACCCTCAGTATATAATATCAGCATTTTAGACTTGATAAAACTTGTGTTTTTTTGTCAATCTGTTTGTGATATCAAGCAAATAAACAGTGATTCAATGATAGAGAAGTTTTATTATCTTTTAGCTACAGATTATGTCAATACTGGCTATTTATATCTTAACAAGAATGTAAACCCTGAAGTACAAATAAAAAATATCTATCTTCATTATTTGAAATAATCAACGTTAAAATGCAATCGTAAAAAAACTAATATTTTCTTTTTCGCTCTGTTTATTTTTAGTTTCTTCTCAACATTAAATACCAATAGAGTATGTTTTATATAGAAATACATTTCTTCATTGATCTTCTATGAATAATTTTAAAATTATATGAAAATACGAAATGAAGTTTATTTATTATGCCTTCATGTTCACTACCCAATATTCTGGAGTGAATATCTGAAATGCTCAGATACGAATAAAGCAAAAGAATAGTTCTGTTTTTTTATAAAGTTATTTTTACAATACAAAATTCAAGTAATTCTTCTGATGTTAACATAAACTATTTTGCATTATGCATTTTCTTTTTCAAGTAATAACTAAGTTTTATTTGATATTAAGGATATGATCATATAAATGCACACGCTGTTCTTTTCCTTCTCGTTCACATCTGCAAAAAGAAAGAGAACTGATAAAGACTAGTTCCAATTCTGAGTAAAGGTATATAGATAAATCTGTATCCAGTTATGCTACCAAAAATTTAAATGTTGGCTATGTATGCGTATGGATGGTATATGGTAATTTATAAAGAAGAGAACTCTAACCTGTATGGGTTATTGTAAAGGATTCAAACAATATAGTGAAATCAAATTGTACGATCTTGTATGAACATGCAAGAATCTGTGATTGATTTCACTGTCTGATTGATTGACTTGGATCCATTCATTTGAGCTAAAACTTTTAGAATGTAATAATTGTTATGAGATCTGTTATTAGGAGAAAGTTTCAAATGGAGACTCGTTATTGCAGTTTTTTTTGCTAATATTCTGCAATATGCTGAAAATTTAATAGAACAATCATGAAAGGCTTAAGAGCACGAACATGTTTAATGTTTTCATCATAACTATGAGTCCTACTTATGAGCTCGAACAGAGGATATCAGTTGGAGAAGTTCTCTCAATATCTATTTGCTGATAAATAGGACAAAAAAAATGTTTGCTCATGTTTTTACCAGAGTCATACAAATTATATTTAAAAAACAAAACGATTAATATATTATCTAGTTTATATTCGATCAAAACTTTTCTTTTCTCTGAGTTATTATTCAAATCATAACACAAAAACTAGAAAATATTTGATACTTTTTGAGAAAATATCTATATGAAAGAAATATATATCTTCACGAATTTTTAGGTGTAGTAATAGTAACAGAAATTGGTGATATGATTAGATGCTTTTTTAGTTTTACATTTGATTCTTGTCGTTGTAACATTTTAGCAGCAGCATGATGAAAATCTGACTGATTAAATAAAAATGCACTAACATGTCCATGAGGAGTATATCGAATATAAATACCAGGCCATACATCATTCATATGTGGAATACCATCACGTAATACGTAACCATCATGTGTACAAACTATAAACATAGCATCAGATATATTTGGTTGAACTGAACGTGAATAATTATATAAAGATATAAATTCATCCATAAGAAGACGCATCATATCTTTAATAAGATTGAGAACAATTTTATTTGAATCTATTGATCGATTTCGTTCACGTAAATAATCATAAAATGTTTGAGAGGCTTTATTTTTATAGAATTGTCGACAAGGTGGATCAGACCATCTAAAATATAAATATATACACAATGGCTACCAAAATTATTCAACTTTTACTCAATAAAAAACCCTCCTAGAGAGTTCAAGTACTAGACACTGAGAAATTAGGCTTTTGGGTTGTCTAAAAAAATCCTAACTTTGGGAATCAAATAATCAATGTTTTTAATTTATATTCTTTTTGTAATATGGTGTGCTCTACTGGAATCATTATTTGAAATTATGATAGATACTGTATATCCATGCATTAAATAGATCAAATAATAGAATTGAATCTTACTTTGTAAATGCTAGTGAAGCCATATGTCCACCAAGAGAAAAACCATGTAGAATAGCTGATGTTAATTTCATTTTTTGACACCAATGAAGTAGCATAAGTGTTTCTAAAACAAGAACTTCACCCATGATATACAAATTGGTAACATACAATAATGATGAACCAGATTGATTTGGCGGTTTTCTTAAACCATAATATGGATTTTCAAGAAGAATTGAATCTATAGGATATTGATTAATTAATGGGAATGCAGTAAATAACCTTCGTCGACTAAAACCATGATCACGTGATAGAACAAGTTGAAAATGAGCTATAGCTACTTGAGATGGAACCTATTTAAATTAATATAACAAAAGAAAAAAGATAATATTAATTAAATGATTAAAATAATTTTAATCACTTACCAAATGTGGTAAATAATTGGCAAGTGATGAACGAAATCGAGCATTTATATAATTTTGATTACCTTTTTGTTTCTTGTTTAATTATTTCAACAGTATTTTCCTGCACATTTTCAGATGGTACAATTTCTAAACACTCATCTCTTACCCCAATTTTTTCACGTCGATAGGTAAAAATTTCTTGTAAATGAAATGGATTTCCCCAACCACGTACAAATGATTGAGTTAATATAAAACATCGAAAGAGATTGTCGAAATTCATCATTTCAATCGTACTCGAATCTTTAATATCATCGAGAGAATTGTTGATCTGATCTTCTTTTTCTTTAATCGAACAAAAAACAGGATAATACAATGCTTTAGTATTCTCAATGTTATATAAACACACACACCCATACAAAAAAAACTCTTATATGTTCTTTTTATTTTCCTAAATCAATCTCGTTAGTTTACTATGAAAACAAAAAACAATATTTTTATTGCATAGCACCAGTAATGTTAAGTAACATTTGAGGACCATGTGGTAAATAGACGATATTTCTTGATTTTGATAATTGATTTGCCATACCTTCAGCGGTTTCAATTCGTCGAAGTTCGATCAAACTTAACATGAATATTAAAACAAAGTAAGACAGGATAATAAAACATATTCGAAAATTTACCATCACCAACTTCATCTAAAGCTTTGCCAATCAAATCAGCTGCACGAGCATCACCTTCTGCTGCAATAACATTTGCTTGACGACTTTGTTCCGTCTGTTTTTTTTTATCAAAAAAAACAAACTCATACAAATTTTATACTTATTGATTTACTTTTTCGACTAAAAATCGTTGTTTTTCAACATCTTGTTGTGCAGTTTGTTTTAATTCAACAGCACTTGTAAATTCAGGTCCAAAACTTAAATGTGTCTAATATAAAGAAAAATGTAATATAATCAACTCGAGACTCTTTTTTGTTGTATCTTACAATTGAAATATCATCAAGTAATAAACCAAATTGAGCAGCATGTTCTGTTAATAATTCACTAACACATTGAGAAATAAGTGTACGTTGTGTAATCAATTCAATAGCATCAAATTGCGACTAAAAATCAGTTTAATTATTCATAGTAACAAAAACAAAAGTGTTTGAGACTTAGTACAACAGATTTTAAAACTTCATTAATAATCGATGGTAAAACACGTTCTTCATAATCTAAACCCAAATTTGCAAAAAATTTTTGGTAAATTTCAGCTCTTGGTCGATGAAGAATACGTAATGTTATATTAATTGTTTGTAAATCTAAAATAAAAATAATAAAATATAATTTATTCATACTTCATTTATACGAAGAAAAAATAACGGAGACTTCCGGTTTTAAATTTTATGAAGTATCCTAAGATTGGTGAATGATGAGAGTGTAGAGGTGTCAACCGATCAGTTGAGTCGCCATCGATGGCCGCAAAATTTTTTAAGATACCTCAGCCATATACATTCATTGATGTTTCAATAGACATCGTATTTACCTTCTTTTTTTCGCGAGCTTACATTTTCCTCATGTTCCCCTCTCTCCTGAAGTTGACTGTTTTCTTCTAGCTTTTATACCTTTTATTTCTGTTATTGATGGAACAGATCGTGGTCGTGTACGAATATCAAATATAATTGGTCTATGAAGCCATGAAATCATAAAATGAGTTCCTTCTTCAATAACATCTAGTTTAACACCTTGAAAACGATCAAAAATAACATTTCGATGACCACCATCAACTAGAATATATTTATATTTAAAGAAAACAAGTTTTTTTTTTAATCTTTTCATATTTACTATTATAAAGTATAGAATTAATCACACCACCAACAATAGATAAACCGATGTCAATTCTTCTTAAAACACTAAATTCTTCTATCGAAATAAAATATTATCTCAATATCTTACCAATATTATTAAATAAACGAGATGAAGCCATTGTCTTTTTTTTTCTTCTAAAAGAAAAACATGCATAATCATAATCAAATTAAATTTGTTTAGTTGTTCTGTTTTTATTAGCAAATAGTTCCAGAAACAAAACGAAACCATATGAAAATTCTTCATATCCCTATCGATAGAAAAAGAAAATGCATCACTATTTAATCTATCTATCTACTACAATAACAAACTAATGTAATATATACATAGAAAAAGATTAAATAACAATAAACTTTGAAAGCAAAAAAAAATACATGCATACTTTTAAATAAATCGAAATCCACTTGAAAAAATATGAGCACCGTTTTTTTTAGACAAAACAAAAGAAAAACAAAACGTGTATAAAGTTTAGCACCGTTCAGATAGTGTTCACCATTGGGTTTTAATGAATTTGATGTATCACTGTTCTTTGCTACTGCAGCACCAGTTGCTTCGGATGCTGGAACAGTCTATAAAGAAATTATTTATATCATAGAAAAAAAAAATGTTTTTCAATTACTATAATTTGATTTTGTTGGAAAAAATTGTTGTGGAAATGATGCACCATCAACACGAAAATCTTCAAGATTTTTATAGTTTTTTAAAATTTCTTCAAGTTTTGGATTGATTTTTGGTTTTTGTCAAGAATATTTTAGAAATGTCCAGAATTTTTCTAAACCATATAATTGACCTCAATAGAAAAACTATTTTTGTTATTGATACTTTTCTTTTTTTTCTTGTGTAATCTATTTTATTACCACCTTCATGATCACAAAGAGTTTCTAGTGGAAAATCTTCAAATACATGTTGACGAAAATGTTTTTCTATACCATATGTATAAAATCGAAATAGACATTCAACACCATATCTATACATAAATAGTAATATTTAATTTTTTTGCTTATTATTTTTCATAAAAACAATTCATTTATATGTCGATGATCAGTTTTAGTATCTTCAACAGCATATTGTTTAAATTCATTGTACATATGACGATTAAAATTTTCACATAAGAAAAATGACTAAAAACGATAGAGTGTATTCATTTCCATTGATTGAACAGGATCAAGTTTAACGCTTTCTAGAAATTAGATCATTACAGAGAGCAAAATGTATTTTATTTGTAAATCAACATAACTTTAGATTATAAATATTTTCTATGAAATAATAAAGTTTGGTGATTAGTGAAACTTAGTGTTTTTAATCATTGACGATTATTTTATTGCTTTTCAAATTTATCATGTAGATAAGAATGATAGTATTTATTAAAAAAACTCCATAAAAGAGTAAAATCTTTGTGTTTTTTTTGAAAATTATAGCAACAGACATATTCTCTATTAGCTATTTAAATAAGAATATAAGTCTTTCTAGACTCTGATTTTTACCGGAGAGTAATTTTCATTGTTGTTTCTAGATATGTTGACTCTTCTTTAGTCATTAAAAGACTCGTTTTTTATACGTTCAATGCAACATAATTTCAATCTTTTTTTACCAGTAGTTTGTTTCTCTCGAAATATTGTAAATATGTACTGAACTAATAATCTGTTTTTTCTCTACAATCAACGTTTTTTTTTTACCATCAAGACATTCTTGTTTATATTTAAGATAAACTTGTTGAGTAAAACCATTTTGTTGTAAAAGTGTATGAGATGAATGTTGAACCATAAAAATCATATGAATTTGAATTATTTCCATGCCAATAATGTGAATCATTGTATGATGATGAATATTGATGATAGAGATCTTGTTGTCGAGTTCGAAATAAGTAAAACTCATTTTATACTAATAATAATTGACATTCAATTGTTTGTATTAGGAACAAAAAAAACATAGGAAAATTCGTCAAAAAAAAAAAGCAACACAAGTTATGTTTTACTATACCCATTTACCTTACCCATATTGAACGATAAGAAAGATGATTTTATTAACTGTAATAAGTAAAGTGAAAGCAAAACGTTTAGAAACGCAGTATTTTTGGCTTCTTTTCTTAACGATAATAACTACTATTCATTTCAAAATAAGGTCTGCTTTATTGTTTTTTAAATAACTTGTGATAGGCACATTACAGAGACCTGCAGTTTTCAACATTCAAAAGAGAAGATCCAAAGCAATCGAAATATATCAAAATTTCATTGGCTAATTGGATAAGTTCTTGGCGAGAATTTTAAAAGGTTCCGAATCTTCTCTCTTGAATGGCGAAAGCCGAAGATCTCTATGATGTTCCTATCAAAAGTTATTCAAAAAAAAACAATGGCGCACATTATATTTTGAAATGAGAAGTAGAACAAATCAAAGAATCATTTAAACATTTTTTTTTAAATTGGCATCAGCTGTTTCTAATTTTCGTTGAGCTTTTTCATAACTATCTCTTAGTTCAGTCATTGTTTGACGAATAGTTGACTTATATTAGAAATAAATCAATAAATAAATAAATACTTGTTTATCTCTAGCTTGTTCAATAATTTTTTAAAATTGTTCAAGCCGTTCTTTTCTTTTTGAATCAATAAAATCATGTATTTGAATTAAATCATCAACTCTTTGATTTAAAATCGATAAAGTACCGTTTGTTCTATATGAAGAACGATAACAACGTGCAACATCACTCAAACGAAATTCTTTCAATGATTTTGATATATCCTTATCAATACTTTTATTTAACTTACAAAATCTTTATTTATTTTCCAAAGATCAGACAATACTTTACAAAAATCTGGAATATAACGAACTCGATTGTATTAATCAGGTATATCATCACTTCTATATTAATAAATATAAAGAAACAAAATATTTTCATTTTTTATTTTCGAATTTCTTTGTTTAACCATATCGATAAATATTCTATTTAAACAAATTTATTTTCAAAACATTTTTATAAGGATCGATTAAATTTATTTCCTTAGAAATTTTTAATCGATAATTCGAACTATTTTATCATTATTTCGTCTTACAAAACGTTTCTATCTAGCAGTTAAAAACAGATTTTCGACAAAACACGTTCAAACCGGATGAAATATTAATCATTTATTAGCGATCGTTCAGTAGAGAGAAATAAATTGTGCCAAAATTGTTCAGATCAATATAATGTTTCTAGGATAGATTATTAAAATAATAAATAATTTTCGTTGTCAATCTTTATATATAATAAGATAATCAATATAGATTCATCTAGAAATCGATTTATATAACAAATAACGAATTTTGGACCAAATGCAAGGAGATAGTTAACTATTTAAATTAGCTTTGAAAAAATAACAATAAAGATTTAATATGAAAGTTTGGTTTTTCTAATTCTACGAATATGAAAACTATTCTTTAAATCGATTTAAATAATATAAACCGTTTCTTAGATTTAAAAAATTCTTTTTAATAATTTGAATACTCTTCAAAACAAATGATATTTTATTTCTAAATAAAGATTTTTTTTTAATGAAAAACAATAATACATAATTATTATCTTAACTTGACAATAATAACATAAAATAATTTCATTATAAAACTATAGAAAAATTTTTAACAAAAAAAAACACTAGCAAAAGGTTAACTCAATTAAATTAAAATAAATAAATTGAATAAAATCTTATTTCTATCAATATTAGTCTAACTATTGAAATGATTTATTATATTAATATAAGATTTCATTTATTTATTTAAGAGTTTGATCTATTTCAATAAATATCTTCCGTTCGTATAATATATGTTAAATCGATCGAGTTATTTCGATTTCTATTGAAAATAATACTTTGAATATATTATATCTTTCGAATATAAATTATCAGTTTTTTTCCCCCTCATTTTAATATTAAAAAACTATTTTATTAAATCGAAATAAACCAAACATAAATAAAGATAATAAATGAGAATTGTTTTTATTTTTAAATAGAATATATCAATTCTATATACTATTTTATTTTTGAATCTCTAATATAAATAAATCTATTAATATTATAATATAACCATATTCAATAGAATTACAATTATAATAACAAAAACAAGAGAAACATCTTATTATATAGATCGATTATTTAAAATGTTAATTAAAATAAATATATATGTACTGAAAAAAAACTTATATAGAATAAGCTGTTGTTTTTTTATTAAAATTAAAAAATGAAAATCTCATCCAAGGATACGCTGCAAGACTTGATCGTCTTGATCGTTGTTCGGAATTTGATCGATTATCATCAGATAAATCATTGTCATTTGCTAATTTCTCAATAAATGAATTCTTTCTATTAAATGATGTCATGCGCACTCTTTTTTTTCAATATAATAACTATATAATGGAACGACGAAAAAGAACAGAGAACCCTTCGATAATCAATTCTTTACCAAACATTCGAATATAATATAAACAATTCATATTCTAATAGAGATATCACTTTTATATATTATTTATTTCTAACAGTTAACAATTTATCGAGATAAACTTAGACTTATTTTAAACAATTAACCATTTACATTGAAATAAAACTTTCGATTTTATATCGAATTATCTTTCATTTTCATTGAAAAATTTTTTTTCTATTGAAATATTCTAATAAGATATAATATATATAAAATCTCGTTTTGGTCTTCAAAGATAAGACAACTATCAATCTTATTCTATAGTCAACATTTTATCTCGGAAATAAAATAAAATCAGTTTACCGGATATATTATATAGGATAAAATTCCAAAATCATGATATCTATTTATCGTCTAGAGATATTTAACATCTATTTAAACTACTTGAAACGAATCATCAAATCATCTCGGTCAACATATATATAGCAATTGAGAATATTTTCAAATTATTCTCTAAAATCTCGATTAGGATAGAATTAATCTTTAGATGATATGATCAAATCGAGTGTTTAGAGATTAATAATAATAGGGAGGATCGAATATGTGCTTATGTTATATGGTAACGATACCCGCAGGAAAGAAAATAATCTTAAGTTTTTTTCTCTCTTCCATAAAGTATATCTTATGTGTTTTTTTTTCATGCTAATCGAGTTCGAATATTGAGGTTAAACTTAATTATAGAAGAGAGAAGAAAAAAAAACGACGAGAGATAGAATAGATCAATTAGATTTTATTTATTTAAATATTAATATTAAATGAAATTTTAAATAAAATCAATATAACGTTAGAAAAAAACTTGTGTTCGATCTTTATTACCTAAAACAAGTTCAGCTCTAGTTCAAAACTGATGAACTGTTCAAAACGCTCACTACCACAAACTGAACTATTTGAACAGTTCTTTTCGACGAACTGAACCTTTCCAAATAGTTTAGCCCTATGAGTTGATCATCATGAAAAGTTACACATACCATCTTCAGGATTCCTTAGGGGCATCACAGGCTGGATATCTATGACTCCTTAAGTGTTCTATGGAGATATTCATAGGTCCACAAGTTCTAATATATACGGGGTATCAATAGTTCCTCAAGTCCTATTAAATAAGGGTGTGGGTGCGGGTGTTTATCTTCTCTTCACTTACATCTACACCCACACCTCAAGAATAGTAGAAGAACATCAATAGTAACATTTTATCTATGCTTTCATCGCCTTCGCACGATATTAGACTCTCAATTGACTAAAAAATTAACCTACTAATACAGAAATTCATCATACATTTTCAAACAATGATATCTATTGACCTGTTTCTATGTATACAAACACTTATGGTAATATAAGGTGAGAACAAGAGAAACTCTTAGATATCATAAAAAGAAAGCAAGACATGACATTATTTATTAAGTTTTTTTGTAATGAATTGCTTTTTATTTTGCTTTCTGTTGACAATAAAGATAACGACTAGTTTAACAAAGAGTGAAGCACTTAAAATGAAACAAAACTCAGAGAGAATGAATATCGCGTCTAGATAGAGTTTTTAGAGTTATATTTGTAAAGGAGTTTTGAGTGGTGCTGAAAGTTATATGATTAGAATTGCATTGATGTTGTCATTTGTTCTTGAACTCTACTCAGTAAAGATTATAATGCAAGTTTAGTATGTCAATTTCCTTCAAACCAAAAATTAAGACAACAGAATAATGAAGGTGTGCGCGTAGATGATCTTGTTTTCATAGACACCAACAATCTACACCTTAGCTCATAATTTACTCATTACTACTTGTATTCTGTCTTACTTTGTGGTCTATTTGATATACTTAACGTGTCTAAATCGATTACAGAGAAAAAACAATCTAGAATATCCTATTGTTTCTATTCAAAAATGTTTCAATAAATAATATTAGAAGATAAAATCGAAAAATATTTTCTCATTGTAGAAAATTAAGATGGAATTGATCGGTATTTCTTCAGAAACTAACTATACATTACTATATTTTTTATTGAAGTAAATCTAATTCAGATCAATAACGAAACAATTTCGATGAAACAAAAAATAGTTTTTTCAATGATGTAAAATGATGAATTATTTTCAATGTCATATAAGAATAGTTATCAATATATTTTATATTTTTGACTTTTATGGAACAAAAACCTTTCGAATGAATTCTTAGCTATTTTTATAATTGATTTATCATTTGGAAATTTGTCTTTTTCGAAGTGTTTCGAAGGAATCTCATACCTTTGATGCATTATTCTAGCACTTATATCACAAACACTCTACACTTATGACATTAAAATGTGATCCATGAAAATGTTGAGTGTTTTTAGGAATAATGAGTGAGTGAGATTGAACGTATAAATACGTTCCTCACTTCAATATCAATAATCTCCGTAAACACTTATTTCAAGAGCATGTTGAACTTGATTTCAATATTCAACAACATCATTTATGTTCATATGTTAGATTACGTAAATCAAAATATGATTGTTATACAGTAGACATAAAAAACAAAAATAACAGTATTGAATTTTATTATTAAATGTGCTGTGTGATTTTCGTCAGAGAAAAATGTGTACAATATAAGCTATACAAAAAGAGAAGTTTATGATAGATCAGTACATATATATGTTTAAATTAAGATTATTCTTCCGTAAAAACTTTCTATAATACATAATTGAATTTTTATATCATCTTCGTAATCATCAACTCTATTTTTTTTTACTATTGATTCGGCTTATATAAATGGTAAAAACTGTATAGTATTAATTGATACAAATTTTATGTATCCAATTGATTCGTCTATTAATTTTTATCAAAGTTCTCATTGATAAACAAAAATATTAGTAGAAAAGTAAAAGAAAAAAAATTCTAATAAAGAAAACCAATTCAATGAGATAAATCTTTTAATATTCAATGAACGCATCTACTAAATCCTTAAAGCATTTAGGTATGAGCTAACAAGAAGAGCTCATCAGATTCACACCCCTCTGCTATCTTCTGTATTACAATTAAATATTAAATAAAACAAAATATAGATAAAGAAGGAAAGTAAAAAGATTGCTTTCGAACAAAAGCAATAAATGATTCATTCGATTCATTCTCAAAAAAAAATTTACACGCACAACTTTCAACGGTATTTATCAGATCATAATTGTACAAAAATTACAAATTTAAAATCTCTAATCGAAATGTATTTTTTCCTGTAAACGAACTTTCTCAATTATTCTTTTCTAACAGTAAAAAGGTCAAACATTGTTCCTATTTCATAAGTAAAAAGCAAAACAACTAGAATCTTTTATTCAAACTGATATTTTTGTTAGTAATAAATTGTCTATATTCATGTTGAAGAACAACAGTGTAGTGTCAGACTCAACAAGGTATATAAAGAGGTTAATATTAAAACAACATTCACTGAGATACTGATAAAGAATTCGTCTATTTGTGAATTTTACTAAAAGACTCGTTGTTTAACTTTACAAAAAATCTTTTATTAAAAGTCTTTTTATTAGTAGAAATTTCTCATAAAAATTATAAGGACGATATCATTTACTCGAAAGAGATTTGCAATTTTCTTTAAATCTGTTCTATGTCTCATAGATTCCCTTATAGTTTCAAGCATAACAAAAATCCATGTATATGTGTCTAATGAGAAAAAAAAAGTGATTCATTAATTTATTTATTATTACTACTGAGATTTCTTTTATAGACTCAAATAATTAATCTATACATAATTTTATGTATGAAAATTCTGAGATATTTTTCAATGAACTAACAATAAAACTCTATATCTCATAAATACTCGATAAAAATATCAATTATCTTTAGAAAATCATAGAAAACGAATATTCGTCAGAATATGAATTTATCCTTAACGAGAAAATATTCCAATAAGTTATTCAGCATGTTTTCTTTTATTTTTAGTGTAACGCCTCACTCTACACCTATAATCGAAATACAGAATACACCAACAACTGTATGATGGGAGATCTGAATAAAAACAAAATATACAATTTCTCAAGCAACTATAGTTTAATCATTTTCTAATAAAAAACCAACATCGAATTTTTATAAAAACTTAAATATCTACACTGAAAACAAAATGAAATTGTTGTATCTGTCGAATCATTTTTATACTAGAGAAATATAATGAGAAATACATGAAGACATTCATCAAATGCTCTACTGCTATCATTATTGTCTCTCTTAGAAAATACTTCATTTCATTCTAATTAAATGGCATTACTTCATAGAGAGTGCTTTGTCAGGTAACTAAAAACAGTTACCTCTTTCATTCAACAATGTCAAAATACTCATTAATAATTCAATTAAGAAAGTGGAACATGTAAAGGCAATAACGTTCATTACATTTAAACGAAAAATGCCCCTTTTTTGTACTAATACTTTGTCTGATATACAGTTTCGTATAAAAATCTAGAAATAATATTACTTTTACATTGCAGTTGTTTGTTCAAAATGTTTATAATGATGAATTTTGTTTTCATCGATAAATCTTAAAAATTTAAAGAGTACAAATATGATATATTCTATTATCAGGAGACTATTTTGAGATGAATTCATAGCTGTTTATATATTCATTACTATATTGATGAATATGACAATATAAGTGAATACACATCATTCATAGTTTGTTATGCACAAGTTGATACATTTTGGACGAAAATTAGATAAATTCTGAGAAGCACTATATTCTAATGAAAATCACTTGAAATGAAAGAAATTCATCAATCTTAAATGTGTAGAAATTTCAATTTTTGCACAACTAACATTTCTTTAACGAAAAGTCGAAAAACTATACGTGAAAAAAGTTTACGCAAAAATTTCTCAGAAATTTCTCAAATACATATATATTGAAGATAATGAAGACGTCCAGTAAAAATTATATTGTTCAGTAGAGAGACAAACTCTATCTGATTCTATATAATTTAGACATGTATATATATTTCAGACATTCTTAAAATAAAGATCACATTTTGTAAAAATAAAACACACCTATTTTTTAAGTTACTCGAGTTGATAAATTCTCTTGTCTTGTATTATTATTTGAAGACGAGCAATGTGAAAAAGAAAGACAACACCCTCTATATATATGTAACATGAAAATTTTTTTTCGTCGATGATGACATGATATAGATGTATGTCGGACGAGAAAAAAAATCATCAAATCAATTAAAACAGAAATGGAATGATTGATAAAAATCAATCAAAATTTTGAACATCGGTCAATTAATCTCAGGGTATATAAAAACATGAATACATCATTATGAAACAGTATACACTCGAGTTGTATTATTATAATGCATTACAATGTATTTATATACCCGGGATTATTATTTATTATTACTATTATATTATTTACAATGATAATTATATTATTAAATTCTATATGAGGTAAATAATAAATTCATTATATATTTAATAAAACTTTTTTTTTTTTTAGATGAGTTTCGATATTATACAATATTGAGAAGTAAGAAAAAAACTTTTTTTACATATTCAGTTGAGTTGAGTTGAGATAAGTTATTTTGAGAAAAAATAAATACTATCTGTTATTATGAGTATGAGTATGAGTACTTTTGAGGTGAGATGAGTTGAGTTATGAATGTTATTAGTGTGGGTCAGAGAACTACGTTGTCGGATTCAATAGGGACAGGAACTTTCGTGCCATAGCGAAGCAGTGTAGTGCTAGGGAAGGCCTCTATGTGTCGTTGGTCCCTACCGTTCATACAGCATACCTTCGGCCATTGCCCTACCAGTCCGGCGTGGTCCGCCTGTGGTACCTATGGCATTGACAAGGGATCTCTCCCTTGTCGCGCGCGCGGGTAAGCCAAAATGAGCCGAGAAAAATCGAAACGATTAGCAATGTGAATAAATTTATTGAGCAAGCGAAAAGAAAAAATTACAGTTACATTTTCTTTCTTACATTGTCAATCGCGTTTCTCACCGATTGAATATGAGGATGGCTAGGTGGAAGTGATTTTTGCCAGATAGAAAGTGCTTTTTCGTAAAATTCAAGTGCTTTCGAGTAGTCACCCATGTTGTTATACACTTGACCAATGTTGTTGTAGGAAGTAGCCAAATGAGGGTGATTCGGAGGTAGAGCTTTTTCGTAGATTTTATGTGATTTTTCGTAAAATTCAAGTGCTTTCGAGTAGTCACCCATGTAGTTATACACTGCACCGATGTTGTTGTAGGAATTAGCCAATGAGGGATGATTCGAAGGCAGAGCATTTTCTTTTATTTTAAGTGATTTTTCGTAAAATTCAAGTGCTTTCGAGTAGTCACCCATGTTGTTATACACTTGACCAATGTTGCTATATGTAGGAGCCAATGAAGAATGATCTTCCGGGACACTTTTCCGATAGATTTTGAGGGATTTCTCGAGAAATGACGCTGCCTCTGTGTATTCTCCTCGGTCCCGTTTCACCCATGCAAGCTGGTTATAGATAGATGCTTTATCACTGTCATTGGACGCCTGTTCTAGTAGTGCTGTGAATAATTCTTCGGCCTTGTCAAATTGACTTATTTTGAGCAGCAATTGACCCATTCGACCCCATCCAGTGCTGCCAGATGTTTCTTGTCGTATACGATCGGTTAATTGACGGAGTTGCTGGTCATCATCAGATGTAAGTTTAAGGTCCACTTGGTGAAGTGGACTTTTCTTGTCAAGTTTTCGAACTTCACCAATTCGAAAGACGGTGTGCATCGAGAAGAGAATTTCCTCTTCATCCTTGAAATAACTCACCTTCTGGATGGAGGCGAAAGGAGTTGATGACACCGTGGAATCGATAGTCATTTGAAAAAGGATACCAACCATATCGGTTGTTCCTAAGGCATCTTTGGCGAAACCGAGGGAAACATCTCGTTTTGTACTGGTGGATAAAAAGTTGTTGAAAGATATGAGACCACCTTTGTTTTTTGCAAGTTTTTCAAAGTCACTTGTCGATAATCCTTGACCCCTATAAACTAGAAAGGACTTTCCATGATACTGACTGACCTGTTGGGTGTGTAATTCTTCAATTTGTCGATGAACATCACACAGGAAAAATCCCATTCGGATGATAATGTCGCCATCCAATGTTCGTAATGCTCGATTGAGCATTTTGTATGTGAAGCATTGGCGTGTATACCACCATAACGCCAACGTTGGATGATAAGTACGTTGAAATTCATTAATCAATTTGAGTTCTTTGGTATTTCCTTGGTATTGTTCTTGGCAATATGTGACCAAGTCTTTAACGGCTTTTTGGCCATGTTCCATATCAAGGAGTATTTCCTTGAATATTTGAGTATACATGAAGGAAGGCTCTAGCTGATTGAGATTTTCGCTAGAACCTCCTTCACTAGCACTAATAATACTAATAGTTACTTGATCTTGATTGCATTGTTTGACAGCCAGTGCCAGTTTTTCACAAATGTGCTTAATTGATGTATGCACACCTTTAATTTTGGGCCAATTTTTTGCCCATTCTTGGTGGCGTTGTTTGTTGCCACAAAAGATGTATATGGCATCTAATTTTGGCATGCCATGAATTTCTGGTACAAGTGCTTGGCCAAGTGAACCTGAGGAGATGACAAATGATGTCTCCTCTTTGTTTTCCTGGAGCTTATCAATACATTCTTCAGCCGTGGTACATGCGTTCACTTCGTTAACAACACTACGCAGTTGCGTCAGTGTGTTCTGGCAATCTTCGTTTTTCATATTGATATTCGTATCGACCCACATCACCAAATAATTTTCGGCCATACGTCGCTGTCGTTGTCGACTCATTTCTGACGTTATATTTTCCTTGTGAATCAGTAGTTGAATAAAATGAATAATGATTTGCTATTTGGATAAAGTTTCTCTTTTCTATATATATTCGATGTTGAGTGTCTTTTTTTGTTTTGTTGACACTTGAAGCAATCTCTACCTAGTTGCAATGGAATATATGGTTGCCAACAACATACCTAATGCCATTATTTTTCTTTCCAACTTTCGTTTACTTTTCATCGATTGAATTGTTTGAGCAATGTGTTGGATACTTCGTCTTTTTCTCTTTTCGGCGAAAACAAAACATGAAACAACGAAAACATCATGGATTGAAGTTTTTTTTTTTTCATTTTTCTTATGACATATATGTTGATGAGGCACAAAAAAAAACGGCACGAAAAATAATTTCAATATTGAATTGAAACAACATTATATTTAAACACCAGCGAGATATATTTTCTCAAAATTACTGAAGCTATTAAGAATAAATTGTATGTCTATTAATGAATGTTAAAGTACCTCTTTTGCACAACATCAGTACACAGTATGAGTGTGAGGGTCGATTTTTCGCTTCAATTATCTTAAAATTCACAACTACACATTGTATCATCATTAACAATCTTGTTGTAGTAGTTCTTTGATTTATATTATATTCATTCAAAATATATGTAAAATAAAAAGAATTTGTGTTAAAATATTTATAGATAATTATCCTGTTTCTATTTCTTCATTTTCGAGATCTCGTACGAGTAGAACGTGTGTCACAATGATAATTAACAAGAAAGATCCTGTACCATGCATACATTTATCACTATGAGAATGTTTACGATAAACGCATATCGATAGAAAACACATTAAAAGAAAATATCTATTCTGCTTGCATCAGAATATCTTCTGTGTTGCATATCGTTAATGAAGGATAAAAACTATTTCAATTGTTTTCGAAACTAAAAAAAAGTGCATAAAAACAGCGAACACAGCACTGAGATAAAAACATGTACTAATGTAGTTTTATTATTATTGTCATCGGTTTTTTCTTTCGGTTTCTTTCGATGTGATTGCATTTCATCAATGGTTTCTTTTTATCATATCGACGAATTCGAAACAATAAAACTTTATTAAAATCAATTCAATACTGTTCATCGAATTTTGTTTGAATAATTGTGTAAAAACTGATAATGTAGAATAGGTTGCTATGAAATGAGATTCATGATTGTTTCTAAGCAAAGAGTTCTAAGTACCATTGATATACTAGTGCAGTCTTCTAATTACTAGCATAAATGGGGAAGTTATAACCAAACTTTACTTTCAAATGAGGGATGATCACTGTTTTCAATAAAAAAGACTCTCATATACTATTGGAACTATTAGAGCTTTTGAAGATTTGAAGACGATCCTAAACAAAACTGTCACAGAAAATATCAGATGTATCAAGAAAATCAATGCATAAAACGAAGAATTGTTGATAATTTGTAACAGTAATTCAATATTTTGATCATTGAGATAGGTAAAAGTTTGGGAAAAAATGAGATAGCTTCGAATGATTATTGTGTGTTTTGCGACATATTAATTGAAAAATTGGTGTGATGTTCTTTTTTCTAGATTCTTTTTTACGACGTGGCATTTGAGCATTGTTGGTTTTTTTTTCGTTGACACTCACGAAGAAATTTCACCTAAGTAGTTTCAACACAAAATATGGTTGTCAATAACAAATCAAAATCCAAAAAAAGAATATAACAACGTAATTCACTTTATAGTTATTCTTTCCATTTCTTTTCTGTTTACTTTTCATCTGTGTAATAACTTGAATGTTATTACATTGGATACCTGGCCTCGCAGAGAGTGTGAGTGTGACTATAGTCAAGAAAAATACTTTACACCCACATCCACACCCTACAACAAACTGGATAAAAATCGGTGAATCATATTGTATAGACACAGGAAGCAAAAAAAGCTTGTATCTCCTAACAGCAATTGTGAAGACATAAATGTTGTTTATTTTTTATTGCAGAGTAAGAAAAAAGAACGGCATCATTGTAACAGAACTTCAATGGCAAATAATTTTTTTTCTTCTTCTTGCTCTCTCATCCATATGGTGAGTGGCAAATTGAAACGAGAATATGTAAACAAAGGGTTACTAGAGAAACGTAATGTTACATTTTTGTTCGTTTTTTTTCTTTTATTTCTTTCAATGTGTAAACATCTCATCAAGAGTTTTTTGTTACTCTATATTTTCGAGTTTGTGTCAATAAAAATTCATTAAAATCAATGCAACACTATGCAATACATTATATTAATTCTGTTTCTCTCCATAGCCATTGATTCGAAATTATTTTGTATCCCGAAAATCTAGAGACTAAATACTATTAGCACTATTCTGAAAAAGCTTGAAATTGAAAGAGCTTTCAAAAATCAGTTCTATAGAAAGGTGTAGATAAAAAGAGTATAGACATCTAGCACCATAAGTCATTTAAAAATATTCAAACGTCATATACACTACGTAATAGAAGTATTGTTTTTACGAAAATTTAAAAAAAAACGGAAGAACAACATAGCATGTTGTTAAAGCAGAAAAAAAGGAGAAATATGGTCAAACGATCTCATTCAGTATTAGAATTTCTTTGCTGGAAAAAGAATGTGTACATCTATTATAGAAGATGATATCATCGATATGGATTTTACTTTTTAGTTCATTAATTCTACAATTAATTAGTAAATAAAGATGACAATAATTTTAAAAAAAAACAAACATCAAATCGGCTCCGATCTGCTGAAAAAAATAAATTATTTAGTATATACTGAATTGAATATTTAATATCTGTATCAATTTTAACTCTTCGATCTGAAAACTATCAATATGATGAACTATGATTGCATTTTGTTCGTGTGAGATATATAATAAGCACGCTTGATGAATGTGAGTATGAATTTTCTTTTTATCTATACCTGTAAAATCGAGTTGTTTTTTTTTCAAACGAAAATTCTTATGGAGTGGCAACTATTGCTACATAGTTATAACTCATTTTTAATTTCAAGCTTCTAATTATATGATTATTCTTCCTTAATGTTAATTATTTGATACTATGTTTTTATTTAAAATTTTTAAATTAATTTATAATAATTGGATTTTAATTGAATTTGAAGTAATTTGGATGTGGATGTTGTTTTTTTCTTCACCCACACACCCAGACCTTCGTTTTAATGTTTACACTTTGGCTTGTTTTTGGCTGGTCGCTATCGAATTCAAGGACTTTTTATTTTGAGCATTCTTGTTTTTTTTAAGTTTTTCCAACGAAACATTACAAGTAAAATTTGTGTACATGCATTTAACATGAGGCAAGGGAGAACAGAAAAGAAAAAAATAGAATTTCTAAATAGGATTTAAACATGTTTTTGCTCTTTTCTGTTGTTTTTCTTTTCGTTTGCCTTGAGCTGCAGTAGAAAAGAACGAAGAATGGCAATGTCTTATTAGGCAATAATGGCTTCCACTGTTGCCAACAGAGTGTGGATGGATAGTTGTGTATAGAAATAATAAC